ATTTTACGTTTCTGATAACCAGTTTCAATTTTTTTTTGTTTTTTAAAAAACCTGCAGTTGAGAAGTATTGCCGCCACATGTTATACCCCCCGCTTTTGTTCCAGCTGCTGCTGCTGCTCCTTGCCCTGCTACTGTTCCTGAGGGAACTTCTTATGCTGCTGGTACTTCAGCTGACGTGGCTGGCACACATCATGACCCTGGTGGGCATGCTGCCATGGAGCTTCAGCCTCCTGTTCTACACCAATATCCGAGCTTTAGTTCTGCTTTTGGCTAGAGCATTGCTCATGTAGTTGGAAGAAGTAGGAAGTCAGAGGCGCATAAGATATTGAAGGCTTTTGATGACAGTACGACCCAGGCCCAGACTCTACGCGACCAAGGCTGCTAAGTACATTACTATGGGCAATGATCTGATGGCAAAAAGTCACCATGAGTGCTTCAGTGCTATTCAGAAGCTGCTTGCTGACACCCAGGCTGATAGGGAAGCTGCTAACGAGGGTAGGAGGGGAAAGAGGAGGAAGAAGAATAAACCTCCAGCATCAGGTACTTTGTCGCAGTTTTTAACGTATTCACATTACAATTACTAATATATATGCGTTGAAATTGGTTGTCTCATACAAGTTTGAATTTTTATCATCAATTTGTTTGCCAGACTAACAAATGTTTTATGTTTGGTGTCTCTTTTTTTGGTATGCAGCAGCAGGTAAATCAGCTGTTGATCAAGATCAACGCAATGCAGCAGGTGGCGAAGAAGATGCTTTACAAGAAGAAACTGTCGGAGGAAATTCTGGAGGACATATTCCAACTTTTCAACCACCACCAGGTGCTTTTTTGTTGCATTTTGTCTTTCTTTCATGTTGCAATTACCATCATTATCTGTGTTGCAATTGGGCAGGGGCCCAACAAGCTTATGGTGTTATCCTGTTTTTTTTTTCTTCAGACTTAAAAATGTTATTTTGGGTGTCTATTTTTTTGTATGCAGGAGGAGAAACTAGTGGAGACGGATTTGCCCAAGATGATGTTCATGAAGAAGAATTTGATGGAGATGGATTTGGCCAAGGACATGATTCAGAAGGAGATATTGGCCAAGGATTTGAAGGCCGAGACGGAGATGGCCAAGAAGATGCTGAAGAAGAATCTGGTGCAGGAGGAGAGCGGCAAAAAGATGCTGGAGAAGGTGGAAATCTTAGAGGGAATCCTCGAATACTTTTGTTGGAATGGAGGAAATCACCAGGTACTTTTTTGTTGCAATTTTTTTGTTATTCTTTTCATATTTTTTGTAATCACCACGGTATATGTATTGCATTGGGGTAGGGTCCTACAACCTTAATTATTTCAGCTTATATTTTCCTTTTTTTCAAAGTTACAGATCCTCAATCTCAAATTCGACAACCAGCAAACAGTGAGTCAAGTAGCGGCAATGTTGATGCCCAGTCATCTCAGATCAGCCCCCATCCACGCCGCCAACGCCTAGTAGCAATGTTGATGCCCAGGAGAAAGGCAGATCAAGTAATTCTTTTCCATGGATCCCCTCTCTTTTTTGTTGTATTCATTATGAGTTTTCTTTTTTTTCCGTTTGCCATCCTAATTTTTATATACTTTTCTTTTCATCTACCCTAGCACCGCCTCCATTGCGTGGTCCTTCACAGGGGTTGGAGTCCATAATAAACCAGCTACAAACATCCATGCTTGTTGACCCCTCCACTGACCAGGTGACATGATGATCATTTCATACTATAGTAATTCATGTAGCATTAATATTGTAATTGGATTGACTTATTGGTTGCAATTTGTATTCTACAGAACATAACCAGCGAGATTGGAGATGCATCCAGGCAACCACAGCCTGCCAATCTTGAAGATGAGACACGGAGAAAGGATGCGTATGTAGCGGATACAGTCTACATACGCGCTGCAGTGAATCCCCCCCGCCGTGGAGAGTGGGAGTGACTGAAGATTTGAAGAGCTGGTTCTCGTCCGCTTGGATGGAACACCGCCTCGTGCCCAGTCCGGCCCAGTTTCCACGCTGCCCAGTCCAGCCCAACAGACAGCAGCAGGCCGTAACAGGCCTATCCTCTCTCATATAGCCCAGCTCCAGCTGGAGGCTTGAGGCCTGGCCTGCCATTGACTCAAATTTTTATTTTTCTTTATGGCTCAACAAAATTGGGACCATCTGCTCAAAAAAAAAAAGGTTGACCAGCAACTTGTTAACTAATAACTAAACAGAAATACTTTAGCAAAGAAGTAGCACTAAACAACAGTGTTTAACAGACCACAAAATCTCGATTTATAGATAGTTTACCAAAGTAAACCTCACTAGAATAATACTCCTCTATTCAAATTATAAGACGTTTTGGCCTTTTTTTTAAATGCATTTATTTTTTATGTATATTATTATGTCAAGATATGTAGCAAAAGCAATTTATTTAGAGAAACCAAACGTCTTATAATCTAAAATAAAGGGAGTAGTAGTATGTTATAGCTTTCACTTAATATACAAGCTATTGAAGTAAAGTGAGCCACATTATCAACTAACATGTATCTAGATATCCACGTTAGCGAACCCTATCATCCACTATCTTTATTTAGGGTAATAGTCTATCTCCTCATGCAAGCTAAACTACCAATATTATAGTGCCACATAAGCCATCAGATTTTCATTCCAAACAAAAAAATCGTGCACTGTCATCCGTGACTCACACAACAACACATAGGGTCCAACACGGGGCAGCTAATTAGCAAACGTTCACTCAGATGGGTTTTGAGCGAACGCTTTTCAGACACATGCAACTTTCCTTTTTTTGTAAAAAAATTTCCGCAACTTTTCTTTTTTAGAAAGTTTTCTATTTTTAGCAAAAGCTTTAGATCTATGGTTTTCTATAATTAATTTTTATAATTAATTAGAATCATTCATAACTGCAGTTTTTATGATCCAATTATAGTGGTGGACTAATTGTTTTATTATTAACTGTAGTAAGAATTTCATACTTTTTTTTCACGTGCAGGCATATATGCCCGAATTTCATTAAGAGGACCGGAATGGTCAATAGACCTTACAATAAAGCCGTTAGCAAACCGCAGCCTAGCTACTGGATTACCAAAAGTCGTATTACAAGACCACCTGGTTCTGCGACCATAAGCTAATCAAGTGAGCCAACGAAGAGTACCCTGCCTCGCACCAGCATTGCGCTTCTCTGATCACCTCCTGTGCGATTGCCGCCAAGTTGGACGTGATTCGGTTGAAGACCCTATTGTTCCGCTCCTTCCAGATTGTCCAGGTGATGAGCAGTAGCAGGGTATCGAACGGTGGCCGGCCGTCAGCACTCAGCCATTCTCTTTGTCTCAGCCACCAAATTCCCAAGCTTTCCTCTGTCAGCGGCGTCAAGTCCTGTAACCCCAAAGGTAGAAGCAACCTATACCAGAGTTGCCTGGTAGTCACACACCCCACGAACAAGTGATCACACGTCTCGGATGCCTGGCTGCACAGGTTGCAGTCATCTGAATCCTGTAGGCCATGCCGCAATCGTCGATTTGCAGTCCAGATCCTGCGGTGAAGCACCAACCACATAAAAAACTTGACCTTCGGTGGAGCTTTAGTCTTCCCTAATTCCTTGGCACCAAGGAGCGCAGTTGATCCTTCGAAAAAAGCTCTGTAGGTCAACGACACGTTGTACTTCCCATCAGGTGACCACTTCCATGTTAATCGGTCCGGCACATGCGGATCGAGAACGACGGCGCATAGGATTGCCCACACACGCAGGTGCTGAAGGAGCACCTGCACAGTGTCCGCACCATGAATTTCACGCGCCCACCGGTTCTGGAAGAGACCATCGTTCAGAGACATCTTCTTTCCTCTCGGTGAGATGTCAGCAAACAACTGAGGCGCAAATGAGCATAGCGAACCAACATTGGACCAATTGTCCGTCCACAGTTTTGCTGAGGCCCCATCGCCGATGATCACAGTCATGCTGGCGTCTATCATTGCGACTACATTCTTCTCAGCACGTGCCGGCAGTGTAGCCCAGCAGCGATCAAGCTCAACTCTGCTTAGCCATTCCCAACGTAGCCTGAGGGCCAGCCCAAAGAACCTGAGATCCAAAACACCTAGGCCACCCAGAGATGTCGGACGACAGACAGTAGTCCAGTCCAGTTTGCATTTTCCTCCTAGCGCTGTGTCAGTACCGCACCAGAGGAAAGCCCTGCGACGTCTATCAATCTGCTCAATGGCCCAGGTCGAGAGGCAACACGCAATGCTAATATGCACCGGGATCGCCGACAACGTGACCTTGGTCAGTAACACTCGTCCCGCGTGCGTGAGCAGTCCTGACTTCCAAGTCGGGATCCTCGCGGCGACTGAATCCACCAATGCTTGCTCCTCTGCACGTTTCAGCCTCTTTAGCGACAGCGAAATGCCCAGATACCTGCACAGGAACGGGGCGACAACACATGGGAAGGCCGTTTGCACATCCAACATCATTTCTTCAGTGCAGCGAATCGGCGAGGCGACACACTTATCAATGTTGGCTATTAGTCCAGACGCCCCCGCAAATAGCAGCAGAATCTGCTGAAGACAGGTGAGGTCCTCAGCAGCCGGCGTGACGAAGACAACTAAATCATCCGCGTAGAGCGAGGCCCTATGCTTGAGATGGATCTTCCTGGCAGTGGAGCGAACGTGCGGAGACGATCAGCCTCCCGAATCATGGATCATATATATATAACTTAGTCATAGATTTAATTATTTAGATTTAACAAGCATAAACCTAATATGGATTAATGTTAATCCGACTACATCCGATAAGGTCTTGTATGGCTCAAGATAACAGGTCAGGTGAATCTAAAGTCGTGGGATAAAAAAAAGTTTGTAAAAGAATATCATGTACCTCATATCACTTCTAGTTGTTTATACACAATTTATGATCCATGTATGCACACTACCATTATGTGTCTAGATCCCTGGAAGACCTAACAACAAAACCTCTACTACTGTAAATATAATGAAGTCACTAAAGAGAATGGACGTAAAGTGCAGCTCCAAGAGCCATCGCTTCATCCGGTTTCCTCCGTATGTTAGGCTCCCTTCCATCAAAGTAATCCCTGACGAGGTTTTGAATCCTGGGTATCACGGCACTCCCACCGACCATAACAATCTCACCGATCTTGCTCTTGCTCCACTTTATACCACCTCTGTTCACCATGGCTGTTTCCACCAAGTTCATGACTTTGCGGAACAGATCATCATTCAGTTCCTCAAACTCCGACCGTGAGAGCGGCTCCGAGAAATCGACACCATCAACGAGGGACTCAACAATCACCTGGACATGATCTTGACTGCTCAATGCCTTCTTGGCATTCTCACATGCCGCCCTCAATTTGCCTAGACCGATCCTGTCCTGACTGATATCCACTCCGTGCTTCAGCTTGATGCGCTTGGCGAAGTAGTCCACGACCCTGTCGTCAAAATCGTCTCCTCCAAGGAAATTGTCCATCCGATACCCAAAGACTTGAAACCTGCCGTCCAGCAGCACCACAAGGCTCGCGTCGGACGAGCCGCCGCCGACACGCAAGACAAGCGCAGTGCCGCGCTCGCGCAGCTTCGTGTGCAGGCCGTGAGCGACGGCAGCGGCGGTCGGCTCTGTGACCGTCCAGACGACGTCCAGCCCGGCCATCTTGCCGGCGTACTCAGCCGCCCCGCTGTGTGCCACGGCGAAATGCTGCGGGATGGTCATGACGGCGTACTCGACCGTGCGGCCGAGGTACTCCTCGGCCTTGTTCTTGAGCTCAGCCACTACCATGGACGCGACCTCGCTGAACTCGAGCTGCTTGACTGAACCATCGCTGGCCGTCACGTGGACGATCGCCGTGTCGTAATCAATTGTACCGATCTTGTACGGCACGCGCTGGATGGCTCCCTGCACGATGTCCTCGTCGTACCAGCGGTTTCGCCTATTAACAGATCGAATAATGATACACACTAATCATGAATCCATCAATCAATTATATATAACCTAATATATATGTATTGTTTTTAGTGGAACGATATATACCTTAGCCCGAGCAAGCGTTTGAAACCGAAGATGGTGGCCTCGGGGTTGGCGGCGGCGTGGTTCTTGGCGGCCTCGCCGACGAGGGAAGTGCCGTTGTCGGTGAAGGCGACCCAGGAGGGGATGCAGAACTGGAACATGGTGTCGTCGTCGGTCGTCTTGCCGGAGCCGGTGTAGCCGGCGACGCAAGAGTTGGTGTTGCCTAGATCGATGACGACCACTTCTCCGCGCCGGTACCAGAACTCCCTCGGCCTACTGTCGGGGTACGTACTTGGGTCCTCGTCAAGGAGCATTTGGAGCCCGGGCGCCGTGGCCACCAGCACGCATACGAGGATGAGCACCGCCGGCAGAGTTACCGCCGGGCGGCGACCGCCAGCAGCCATTGCGACCAGAAGAATTACTAGGTCTCTTAGGTTTCGTTATCAGCTTTTTTTTTTTGACACATCCGGTTAGGCCGAGTACGGTTTTGTTTGGAACATTGGATAGCAACATTGGTCGTGTCGTGTGTCCCTCGATCGGATCGGATCCGTTACGTAATACTGGACGACTCTGTTCAGCCAGCTCCGTGAGCAAGGGGCCCATGGCCAATACTCCGTTTGCAGATCAAATTAAGAGGGACGTGTTGACAGCCAAATATAATCGAGAGAGTAAAAGAACCAGAAAAACAAATTAAATTGAAGAAGATCAAATTTGGAACAATTGTACAGATTTCACCAGTTTCCTGAAACCATCAAGGTAATTCTATTTCTCTGACGGTTTATTCAATAACCGTCAAAAAAATTTAAAACCATCAGGGAATTTCATGTTTCCATTAGTGTGAGCTGATTTCGATAGTCCAATATTATTTCGAGTTTTTTTGTTGGGGACTCGCTCTATCTCGAAGGGTTAAACTTGTAAGTTCTAATACGACCATCCACCTCGATTTATATGATAGGATCATGGCTAATTGAGAAATCCATCTATCTCATCAATCAAAAAGGTTCAATCTACAACACTTTTTTTTTACCCTCAAACTCTTACAACCTATTGTTGTCCAACATTTTTCTATACAAGATTTACTAGAGTTCTAAATGGTCTTGTAGAACCTAGGACATCCCTGGTATGCTTTACCCTGATAAATATTTGCGAGGTGGTTGTTCCGGGCGAAGAATGAGTGTCAGATCAGTCTCGCCAACACCCCAAGTCAGCATCACCATTTATACCTACCTCACCTGCATGTCTCAATCGTGTGTGCGGCCCTTGCAATCATGCATACTGTACGTGTAACCGAATTAGTGTCAACACTTTTTTTTATAACTACTGAAAACAAAAGGGAAAAATATTTTATCCCTATGTGGTTGTGTACAAACATCTTATATAATTTTACTATTATATGGTTGTTGTCCAAGAAAAGTGCGACGATACAAACAAGCTCAAAACACAAAGAAAGAGACAAGAAAAGGTATATATCTTATAGTATTTGTGATTTTTTTTTTGTGAAACCATAGTATTTGTGATTTAGATGACAACACAAGTCTAAGACTAACACAAGTGAAAAGTGAGTTAGATTATACTAAGTCCTAGGAATGCAAGAGACGAAGTGGTGCAAAGATCGGTGGAGAAATGACGCAAACACCAATAACTGAACCACTTCACGGCCCTATTTAACACAAGGTAGATTGGTAGAAGGCACCGCACAATTAATCTGCCGAGAAGAAAATGGGCTGCGGCAGAACATCTAGTGATTATCAGTAAGGTGGCAAAAGGAAACTTGCACTCACCGAGTCACCGTATGATATGGCAGAAAAATATAAGGGCGTCCGCAACGGACCTAGCGAAATCGCTGGCTAATGTGGATGAACGAGAAATAAATTAGTATTGATCTGTAATCGTTCTCTCCTATTGGATCCCACCTATTCATCTCTGTTTTTATCGAACGATGTGAAATCGAATAATCGATCGGCGACTTACTAGGTACCAGTGAGTTTTCTCTTTCCACCTTTTTGGCTTCCACGTCGGACTCACAGCCAGCGACGTCACTACCCCCTTGGGACACCCTAAGCAGTAGATTGTCTCGTGAATGGAAAAAGGCAATGAGTCATCCAATGCTTATGATTTCGCAGCTTGTTTCCTACGGCCAGTTGAGGTGAATGGGGTTATATATAAGGTTGTCTACACTGCATCCACCATTTTTGTTCGCTTGAACTTATCATCCCTGCTTATTAGCCATGGTACACTGTTTTTCTAAAACAACAAAACAACATCAGCCGACTTATCAACCGTAGAAATTAAACCATCAGCCGAACAACCCATTCAAAATTACATCCAAAATTAGGATAGACAATATTTTAATGCATCTTTGTTGAGAGTTAGTCCCTAGAGTTTGAGAGCTTTGAGTGATTGGGTCTTGATGCCCTTGTATCTTGACAATTCGGAGTGCAAGTCTTCATGACCTTCCAGTGAAGGTGAGGTAGCCTTCGAGTCGTCGACTCTCTCCATTCTTGGTGTGGAACGACAACGTGTTAGTGTGCAGAGGACAAGGAAGCATCTCTCCCTTAAATGGAGAAACCATGTAGTGGATACAACATCAAGGTGACCGCGACTAAGTGGATCTAGTGAGACTATGTGACTCACACCCGCCTTTGCTCTGTATTTGACACACCATGATCAAATTGGGTGACAGTAGTGGCAACTCTGAGACTTGATGACTCACAACACTTTGGTTGGCGAAGGCCTTGTGTGATAGTCCAACACTATAGTAACCATCGGGTGGCATAGGGAGATTTTGTGACTCCATTGGTTTTGGTCGAGCGAACACCGCAATCGAGAGAGACTTATTGATTGGGAGCATGCCTTGATAGATCTCCAACATAGACTAAGGGTTGTGTTTTAGCAACCAATAGCACAGGATGCCAAGAGTTTATCCTCTCTATCCTTTGCTCTTTACTTATCATACTTGTGTAATATTTACCTTTGTAAGATTTAGTTATAGACTGGTTGTTAGGATTGGCTATATATGTTAATAAACTCTTTGTGGGTTGTTGGTAAGATAAAAGTGCACTAGAAAAATACTCTGAGACTATGGGTTCTCTAAGAGCATCTCCAAAAGAGTGTTTCTAAAATTCACCTCTAAATCATCATCATTTGGAGAGTCATCTGCATAAAAATCACTTAATATATGTTCCTCCCCCCCCTCAAACAACTTTTCTATATCTTATATTTTTGTATACACTTTAGAGAATCATTTTTGTATCTATCTTTGGTTAGCGAGAAATTCAAAATAGAGGATGACTATATTTGGATATAATCATTTAAAGAACCGGTTGAAGGTTACTTTAAAATAGAAAAACTCTATTCCTAAAAATTAGAAAGGATATACAGAATCTCTTAGAGTTGCTATAATGGTAGTTAAATTTGACCCCTAGGATCTATGTTTTGTTTAGACCCAATTCACAGAATCCCCCCCCCCCTCTTGGGTGCTGACAGAACCTAGTTGTGTCCATAAAAATCTACAATTTTGCCTTGCCAAAACAAAAAAGGTCTTGCTTCAAAATGGGAAATATTTTTTGGTCACATAACCATTATTGAACGAAGATTATTACTCTGCTGACACAATTGACCAAAGCCAAAACTATAAATATGTTTTTTTTATAGCTGTGGTGTGTGCTCCAAGTTTACTTTTACACAGCTCATCTCTCAGACCGGAATAAAATTGATGGGGAAGGCTACCGCCGTCAGCACACGCTAAAAACATATGGACTAGTGCATATGATGGGAAATCATTTCTACTACCAGACGTACCTACACCAATCCTATAACCAGTATGGGTATGGCCCCAATCCTATAACCAGATGGGTATGGCCGAGCAGGTATTAAGCTTGTCGTTTTATATCGGGTGACCCCAATATGGTACTGAACCAGGCTAAAGTAATGTAAGCACAGCAATTAATGTAAGCACAGCAGCTGAACAATGTCAATTTTGTACCCGTGCAATTAATGTAAGCATGATCATACTAGACACCTATCCTAACATCTCCGTGCAGTTCTATAGATACATCGAGGATCATATTTTCAAGATGATGAAATTCTTCTCTCCTTAAGCTTTTTTGATGGTGACGATGAAGCGATGATGGATCGCTGGCGCCCAACCTGAGGCTCACCTTCGTAGGATGATGTTCGGCGTTGCTCACTTGTATTAGCTGCTGTGGACCTCCAGAAATACCATAAGCAAATAAGAGCCATCACACTGAACAATGTAACAGCTATCCATATGCCCTTGCTATTGCTAGTGTCATGTACGTGAACCACTTCACTGTCCGCAGAGATGTCCACAGAAGAAATGTTTGTCTTTGTACACTCTGCTTAGAAAAAAATTTAAAAAAAAAGCTATTAGTAGGCACAAATTATTATTACACCTCTATCCTGAATATAAGGCGCGATTAGACTTGGTGAGGCCACCTATATATAATTTCTCTTATAATATATAATTTATAGGAACAAAAGTTTGATCATTACAAAACATTTCTAAATTCAAGGATCTAATGTAACTACTTTTGTAATACAAACTTTTGATATAATTAGGCTAATTATTAGTCAAAGATAACAAAGTTTTAATTTTGAAATACATGCATGCCTTCAGGGACCAATGGAGTAACTGAGATAGCAAGTATTTTGAGCTTCAAGGAACAACAAATAAGCATGTACCTGCTGAGCAGTCCTCCATATGAAATGTTGACCATTTGGAGATGATATGTCTATCCTTTCCATTGCACAGAATATATGTGGTACCTAGTTCAGGAGGTCCCCATCTTTCTTTCATATAACGGCAAAGGCAACAAGCCCCACTCTCATCACTTGCTGGAACTTGGTCAATTGCATATAGTAAAGCATTGCAGCATGTCTGTGAGGACGAGGATGGCTTCCATACACCGTTTGGTTGCATACATGATAACACGGCAACGCTTGTCAAGTCATAACGACATGTGCCCTCTTCAGATCTTTGTGTATCTGTGGCTGAATAGGCTCCAGATGATGATAGAAGCATTGTGAGCAGCAACACCCACAACCAAGACTTTTGGACTACCAATCAAAACAAAGCAAAAACATGTAATATCAGTATGTTTGTATTTTTTTAGAACACAATGTACTTAGCAATTGGAAAGGGCATGTAACTCAATGACAAAACTGAATGGAAGAATCAAAAGTAAAATAAACTTACGACCTTTTTAGCCATGCAATTTATTGTACAGTTTGAAAAGAATGAGGACATTAACAATGTATTGAATATATCCAATGCAAAAGGTAGTCCAATAAGAAAGAGCGAAACGTACAGCATGTGACATTGGCATTAGGAGTATTTATCTCTGCATCAACAACTGAAACCTTTCTGCGCCTCATTGCCTGCATTGTAGAGATTACTACTCCAAATCATTACACTCTGATGAACAGTAGCAGAAAGATTTACTATAAGATTCCTAGGTTTTATGATCTCAAAGATACTGGAAGTTAAAACAAATTTCATCTGAAACTGAAGTTGATGTCACAGCACAATAGCACATACACCTTTTCTTAAAACTTGGCAGCTGTTGTTCCATTCATTTAAACAAACAAAGCATGCTCAAACAAGTTTAAGCACCAAATAAGATAGGGCAAAACCTCCACACAATATCACTATGCATATTTCTCAAGATTTTCTTTGGCAAATGTGCATCACTAAAATAAAGGTAGATTAAGTAGCATTGGCAGATTAAAACTTCTTAGAATATAAAGATAGGAAAAAAAGACAATCCCAGACATACCAGTAAACAAATAGCAAGGGAGAAGATCTCATAGATGAATATTGATCCAATTTACAAGACTTAGTATAGCACAGTTAGCCATAAATTGTTATACGTGTAGCATAAAGCAGTTGTAAATAAAACTGCACAGCAAGATAATTGGTAGGATCACGTGCACATATATATAACCAAAAAGCGAAGGGGTTGGGGCGTCCGCTTGTCTTACAGCCATTTTAGAAGGGGTAGCCAGATACTCTTGGGAATCAACCGTGCAGTCCATTACCATGTATCCCTGAAAAAAAAATTCGGACAGATTAGAATAATCATTCAGTCATGAATGGGCAATACGCTATTGTGGAAACCGAAGAACAGGGAACGGATCCGAAGGGATGAGCCCCAACCATGCGATCGCACAGGAGAAATTTGTTGAAATTTTACAGAGGATCCTTTCAAATTTCTATCAAAGTGTGGGGATGGGATCCACAAAAGCAAGGTGCAGACGGGAACCAACCAAACTGCGACGAGCAAATTGGGGGTAGCGAAGCACACAGTGACACAGCACACACCCGGACCCCACCCCACCCCACCCCAGCGACCCACAAAATGATGCAACTAGAGCGGCAGTGCTTTCCCGCCATGGATCGCCCAGCGCAGAAGTCCCGATCGAATCGGCGGAATCAAACGACGAAACCGCGGCGAGATTGGGATTGGAGTGAGATCGGCGAGGGGATTGTTTGCATACCATCAGTTCGCCTACTTGCGGGCGGAGCGGAAGGGAAGCCCCTCGTTGCTGCGGCGCGACGATCGCCGACCCGACGTTGCTTCTCCGGGAAGCAACCGCCTTCATCGCCGCGCCTCGGCGACGCCGCGGGTTTAAAGCAAGGGGAGAAGCAGGGTTTAGAAGAGAAATCCGGCGACACTGGTCACTAGCCCAGTTGCTACTGATAAGCCAAAGTGAAAGCAGAGTGAACGTGGGCCGAGTGAGGCCGAATTGGCCCGTCAACAAAAACAGTCGCCAGCCTATTAAACCGGACGATTGTTGAACTCAATTTTTTAAAACCCTTTCATTTTTTCTGCACGAAGTTTTTAGAATTTTGGTTTGAAAAAAGTTTTTAGAAAATTAGTTTACTAGAAATATACACGTGCGTTCCTATGGGTGAACACCTGTTTTTAATCTGACAAGCCTACAAACAATATTGTGTCTCTTGGCCTTAGGAGCATCTCCATAAGTTTCCAAAATCCAGTCTTAATCTTTTTTTTGTAAGATTGAAAAAAAAGGTTTCTAACAGCTTTATATCTCAGCTCCCAATCTTTCCGCACCTGAGAAGCACATGAGAAAACCGACCCAATCGTACGGAAATACAAGTGCGCATATCGATCTGCCAATATAGAGGTGTAGGACATGGTGAAAAATAAAGAGTAAGATACTTGAAAATATGTAAGAAAGAAAGAAAGTATAAAAATGGCTTCATAATTTTCAAGCTAAAACATTTTTTTTCTAAAATTCAGATTTCATTATTTTAATTGCATAACTTTTTTTGGAAAAGATATTGATCAAACAACTTTTTGTTAAAATGTATTTGTAGTCTGATTTCCCTCCTAAAGTACCAATGGATTCTGATTTACTTCCTCAATGGCTGACGTAGTGTCACGTAGGATGGTTGATGTGGTGCCATGTCGGACAGAACAGCCCCAAACTGTAAAAACAAATGGTTTTTAAAGTTGAGGAGGGCCAAAATCCAATTGCATATATGAGGGTGGAAAATCAAACTTTATGAGTAGTTGAGGGGTTAAAAAGGATTGATTTATCCGTATAGGCAAGCAAATACTCTGTATGTTATGGGTACTCACTACCGGAAACAGGGCCGTTGCCAAGAGGCAGCGTCTTTGCCGAGAGCCAAATGTCGGGCTCTCGGCAAAGAAAGGTTTGCCGAGAGTCGGCCCTCGGCAAAGGTAGGCCGTCGGCAAATAATTCCTCTCGGCAACCGGGCCCTTTGCCGAGGGTCCGGCCGTCGGCAAAGAAAGGCCGTCGGCAACCTGTGACGGCAGGCAAACGGCCTTCACCTGCCGTCTGTTTTGTCGAGGGTCAGAATTTGGCCCTCGGCAAAGAATTACTTTGCCGAGTGTCGTTTCTGTGCCCTCGGCAATTTTTTTTTTCTTTTTTTGCTTCCAAATTTTTTCCCTGGGTTTACTGTTGTACCTTAAAGTACATATTAAAATTTGGAGCTTTTTTTATTTTATTAGATATATTTAATAAGTTTATTTCATTTACTTGAATTCTTGTGATCACATGCGGAGATATCTGGGTTTTAGGCATCGGACATCGCAACTTACTCGAAACCCACTCAATTTTTTATCACAGCCTATACATGCGATGATATGACACCTCGACAAGTTTCGTGAATTTTGAACTTCGTTTCCATTTTATATAATTTAAAAATACTTTACACGCAAGTTCCTCGCCGTGTTCCGTGAAAACGATGCGCCAAATTTGACATCTGTCAGTGGATACGGTCTCACACCACATGCAATACCATGAATATGATTTTTTGAATCACTCAATTCCAATATTCGATGCACCTGCAGTTCAAATTCGAATTACCGGGAAGAATTCAAGTAAATAAAATAAACTTATTAAATATAGCTAATAAAATAAAAAAAGCTCCAAATTTTAAATATGTATTTTAAATATTATTGTTAGCCACCAGAAAAAAATTGGGAAAAAACCATTTTTTTTTTGTATTTGCCGAGAGCCTCAAAGGGCTCTCGGCAAAGAGTTTTTAAAAAAAATAAAAAACAACTTTGCCGAGAGCCCGGATCTGGGCCCTCGGCAAAGGCCCAGTCCACATAAGCCCCTCACGGCCCAGTCAGCCTTTCCTCTCGCCCGCGCGTGCCCCGCATCCCCTTCCTCTCGCCGCCGCCGGTCCCCCGCGCCGCCGCAGCCTCTCCCCCGCCCCTGCCCCGTCACCGCGCCGCCGTAGCCCGCCCGTCCCATCCCGTGCATTGAGGCGACCCGCCCGTCCCCGCGTCGCGGGCAGCAAAACCCCCCGAAAGCGCCGTCGTCGTTGAGGGCACGTCGTCCCGCTTGCCCGGTGGTGAACACCGCGCCGCCGCCACCCACGCCCACGGTGGCCCACCATGCCAGCCAATTCCCGGCCCGGCGCCCCCCCAGCCCACGCCGCCGATGATGCCCCACCCCACGGCCAGCGTCCCGGCGTCCCAGCAAGCCCCCAGCGCCACGCCCGCCGGTGCCGCCCACATCCCCGCGCCACGGAGCAGCAGCCCGCCCGCCGGCCGTCGTCGTCGTCGCCGGGGCCGCGTCATCCCCCGCCTCGCTCAGTGGTCGGTCACCGCCGCCGGCCCCCGGCCACGCCCGCCGGTGGCCCACCCCGTGGCCAGCGCGTCCCCGGCCGGCCCCGTGCACCCCCGGCCACGCCCATCGGTGGCCCACCCCCACGGCCAGCGCGTCCCCGGCTAGCCCCGTGCGCCTTTGCCGGCCATGCAGAGAGCATTTGGAGGAGGAAGGGAGAAGAGGAAGGAAGAAGAGAGGAGGGGAGAAGGAGAGGCCAACGACCGTCACGCCCCCGCGTCGTCGCGTCACGCCGAGCGGTCGTCGCCGTTTTCCCCGCGTCTAGCCGAAGACGAGGGTGATCCCAACTCCGTGTCGCCCGACTACACTGCCACCCAAGGTAAAGCCCCCCTCCCGCTTGTTGCTGGCCTTCGTGCCATTTCTGGATTAGTGGGCCTTCGTGCCTTTTGTGGATGTGTTGGCCATCGTGCCATATGTCGTTGTGTCGGCCATCGTGCCGAAATTGTGGATGTCGGCCATCATGCCGTCTTTTTCCTTGCAGGTTTTGGAAGCCTCCCCGTACAGGGGAGGTTCTGCCGAAATTTTGAACTTATAAATTGTGTTTCTTGTTTTGCAGAGAAGAGCCCGACGGAGGGGACCCGGAGTACCCCGAGCGTCTTCCTTTGGGTCTGCCTGCACTGCGTCACCTCTCCACTCCACCGCCACCCTAGGTATAAGCCCTTTGTCCGTAACCCTAGCTAGATCGCATAAACAAGTTAGGTGTCTCCCGTCCGAAAGAGATACGATCGTAGGTATGCGGATCTCTGCATATCTACGACCATATCTGTTTTGGATTGTCCACGTTATTTGGACAGCTCGCGGATGCGTAGATGATTTAGTTTGTATGGTCCGGTCCGGTCTGAGATGGGGTTTCGGCAGCACCTCCCTGTTGTTCTCCAGATACACACTCTCTCTTCCAGGACATGTATCGGGAGAACAGCGGGGATGTGCTGCCGAAATTCTATCTCGGATTGGAGCGGAGCATGGAAACTAACCTCATCTACGCATCCGCGAGTGGGATTAGGATCTATCCCTACCTATTAGATAGTAGGCAAGCGGTGCATATGCTATTGATGGTTATATTACTCTATTATATATATGGTAGATGATGGATAACCGTGATTGGATGTACATGGGCCGCCGTAGTCAGAATCAGGTCACTCGTGAATGGATACAGAAGACTGAGGATTTCTTGGACAAAGCATTTGGTGTGGGTGCTCAAGCAGCGACAGAGGTGTGGTGTCCCTGCAGCAAATGTGCAAACAGGAATAGGAAAACCAGGAAGGTCATTGAGGAACATCTTTGCAAGTTTGGGTTTACGCCAGACTATACCCGGTGGGTGTGCCATGGTGAAGGCCATCGTATTAGAGATGAGGCATTGAGGCCACGTTTGGAGGAGTTTGATAGTGATGGTGGGGTACCAGACATGATGGATGACTTCCACCAAGCACACTTCGGTGTACGATGTATGGACGAAACCGAGGAGCAGGAGCTAGAGGAAACCGCAAGGGCATTCTATCGCATGATGGAGTCGGCTAAGAGGCCCCTTCATGACAAGACAAATGTTTCTCAACTCGATGCCATTAGACGCTTAATGGGGTTAAAGTCCATGCATAACATGAGTCGAGACTGCTTCGATAGTATGCCAGCAGTTTTTGGGACCCTGCTTCTGGCAGATCACGCGCTGCCGAAGAACATGTATGAGTCAGTGAAGCTCCTCAAAGCTCTTAAGATGCCGTATGAGCAGATACACACTTGTGATAATGGGTGCGTCCTCTTTAGGAAAGAACACGCGGAAGCAAAGTACTGTCCAAAGTGTAAGTCCTCTAGGTATGTGGAGGTAGAATCTAGTGATGGGCAAAAGAAGCAGCTTGGAATCCCCATGAAAGTCCTATGGTACCTTCTGTTCATACCGAGACTCCAACGGCTATTCATGAGCGAGGAGTCCGTGAAACAGATGACATCGCACAAAAATGGCATCCGATACAATCCTGACAAGATGGTACATCCATCAGATGGTGAAGCATGGCAAACATTTGATGGCATTTATGCTGACAAAGCTCTAGAGGCTCGTAATGTGCGTGTTGCGTTTGCAACAGATGGGTTCAATCCTTTTGGAATGATGGCGGCCCCATACACTTGTTGGCCAATCTTCGTTATCCCCCTCAATCTCCCCCCCCCCGGCATCCTTCTTCAACATCAGAACATATTCTTGTCACTGATAATTCCTGGTCACCCAGGGAAACATATGGGTGTGTTCATGGAGCCTTTGATTGATGAGTTGATCAGTGCATGGGATCACGGGGTACTGACATACGACCGTGCTACAAAGAGGAACTTCACAATGCACGTTTGGTACCACTACTTGATGCATGACTTTCTGGCGTATGATCTATTCAGCGCCTGGTGTGTCCACGAGAAGTTCCCATGCCCGGTATGCAAGGCAGCTCTGCAGTTCATTAGGTTAAAGAGTGGTGGCAAGTTTTCCTCGTTCGACA